GAGGTTGATGCAGAGGACAAAGTTAAAGCTGAAGATGACCGAGAGAAAAGCAAAAGTGACAGAAAGGACAAGGATCGAAAAGCATATGCCAGAGGAAGCAAAGACAAAGAAGAGAAAAAGGGTGAAAAAGGATCAGAAAGAAAAGGCGTTGCAGAAAAAGAACACCTGAAGAGCAAGCGGTCGCCACCGCCGCTTACCGCGGTCGCCAAGCACCGTTTAGGCAGCAAGGCAGTCTCGGCAGTCCCCCCCCCGGCGACAATGACGAAGGGAAGGGATCAACGTGGTGGCGAGCTTTCACATGGACGCTATTGCCCGGAAAAATGGGTCCAGGAAGATCTGACGGCGATCCACGGTGGCAGCGATCCACGGTGTCTGTGCCCGCAGAAGCGCCGTGCGTCATGTCTGACCCGACAGGGTGCCACCTCATCGGAGTGACCATCAGCGACGGGCCCGCAGGGCTGCAAGGGCCTTGCGGTGAACATCCCGCGCAAGAAGAGCGCGGCTAGACCCTGGTGCTAAGCTCATCAGTGATAATTCGTGCATGTTTGTCACAAGCACAGCTTTTTGACAACCTGAAATGACAAAATGTGGTGGGTTCATGTCTGGCAGCGTTGGCCGTGTTGGCCGCCGAACGGCGCTAGACATGAGTGAGCACACACGTATACGGGGTTGCAAGGGCCACCAGGCAGAACACAAACAAGTGAAATAAATAAACTCTCATGCTTAACATATAGGTTCAATCAAAAGGTTGTTTGTTTGAAGGCACCTGGTAGTAGAGATGGTGGCGCTTTAGACTGAGCGAAATTCTTCCCACTGTTGGGAAAATCGTTTAACTAAAATTGCCTTTGAAAGGGCATGTCAAAAGGGAAAATCAATTAGAAAAAAAGTTTGTTAATTAAAAATTGCCTTTGAAAAGGCTTGTTAAAGGGAAAATGGTAAAATCTATTTTTAAGTAAAATTGCCTTTGAAAAGGCGTTTTACAAGGGAAATCAATTTCGGAAGTTAGATTTTGAATTCGAATTAACTTTGCAAAGCTTTTTAAAAGGGAAAATCAATTGGGAAAATCTATGTTTAATTAAAAATGCCTTTGAAAAGGGGGTTTCAAAGGGAAAATCAATTAGGAAAATCTTTGTTAAATTGAAATTGGGGAAAATCAATTGGATTGTTCAAATAAAATTGCCTTTGAAAAGGCTGTTTCAAAGGGAACATCGATTAGGAAAGTCTTGTTAAATTTAAAATTGCCTTGGACAAGGCATTTTCACGGGGAAAACCAATTGGATGTTTTTCAATTAAAATTGCCTTTGAAAAGGCTTTTTGAAAGGGAAAACCAATTGGGAAAATCTATGTTTAGTTCAAATTGCCTTTGAAAAGGCGTTTTCAAAGGGAAAATCATGTGTTTTTTCAATTAAACTTGCCTTTGAAAAGGTTTTTGAAAAGGTAAAATCAATTGTGTGTTTCAATTAAAACTGCCTTTGAAAAGGCTTTGTAAAAGGAAAAAGCAAGTGTTATTTTTAAACTAAAACTGCCTTTGAAAAGGCTTTTCCAAGGTAAAAATCAATTGAGGCAATCTATGTTTAGTTACAACTGCCTTTGAAAAGGCTACTTAATAGGGAAACTCAATTGGGAAGCACGAATCACGAATCACGCGGCTGGAGGTTTTAGTTAAAACTGCCTTTGAAAAGGCTGTTTAATAGGGAAAATCAATTGGGAAGCACGAATCATGAATCATGAATCACGAAACCGAATCACGAATCACGAATCACGAAACGAATCACGAATCACGCGGCTGGAGGACGACTTCCGGATCACCACTCATACTATACACCGGCTGCGGACTAGCTCCGGTCTTGAGGTCCGGATGAACTGAGACTGGATCCAAACGGAAAACGACCCTTGTAAACCTCTCTCAGAATTGCACGTAACCTGCTGTTGTTCCACTGGAGGGAAACACTGCGGAGAACTGGAGGGGGGGAGACTTCACTGCTCCAGAAAGACCCTCCAGAAATCCAACCTCTCCATCTCCAACCATCTCTCCCCGCCTCACCGCGCGCCCGCCGCAACGCTTTCTCCCTCGCGGCCAGTAGGTCGCACCAAAGCTCCTGCCGAAACCGCGCGGAGCTTGAGCATCACTGTGAAGCAGAGAACACATGGTGTCCAGTCCCGGGAAAGAAACATGAAAAAAGGGTGAGAAAAGACATGAACATCACCCGTGCCGAAAGCCTTCATGAGGTAAAGGTGTCAATAGCGATGTCCTTTTCAAGGTTCCTCATGTTTCCTCGAATCTGTATTTAAACCAGCCTTCCAGTGCCTTCCAGGCCTTCCAGTGCCTTCCAGCTCAGGGGTTAGCAAAACTGTGGTGCCTTCTAGCTCCCTCGGCGATCACGAAAACCCGGTGCAAGGTCCACCTCTCGTTGTAGCTCTGAACGCAACTCTGCTGCCCGCCGCCTCGCTGCGGCTCCGGTGGAGACAGGGGCACCGGTGCCGGCGCTGCGGCCGTGAGGAGGTCTGTTCATCAGCGTCAAGGAGGTTTAAGGCGCACATCTTACCGTTACCGGAAATGCCTTGTAAACACACCTCCAAATTCTCGTATGGATGTGCTGTAGATGTTCCCTGAAAGCAATTCTGGGACCCGGCAAGACATTGGATGTCTATTGATCGATCAGCCCAAGGGTGGTTGGGAAATCACGGGTCAATGGGATGGCATCGATTCCATAACCCAGACACTCCATGGGACTGGAACATGTGCCGCCCCATTGACCCCCCCAGGCACCACCCCCCAAGCACATGGTTGGCTGGCACATATGGCAGTCCCATGGAGTCCGTTCCTTCAGTGGCTTTCTCCGGTCTCGAAACGGACGACAAAGGCATGGTCCAAATGGCATGGTCCAACATCTGAACTTGATGATCTTCAGCGACCCACCCAACATCAAAGTCAAATGCTGCTGGTTTCTTTGGGATTCATGGTGGGAACGGATGTGTTCCACACCACCAGTCTTGCTTTGCATGTGGCATGTGGACATCATGTGGACTGGATCTGACAAGTTTATCCATATAAAACCCTATAGATTCTCTAGATTGTTATTTTCTCATCTGTCTATATTTGCCAAAAAGTCTTTGTCTTCTTTAACAAAACCAGCCAAGCCTGAAATTATCCATCTTCCTGGTCTGTGCGGGTGGCGCTGCCCCCCTGGAAATCTCCCGCCTCGCACGCCCCAAGGCGCTGCCGCTGGGCGCTGGCAGTGGTTCCGCAACACTGCGGAAGGGGACGCGGCAGACGGCGGGAGGGGAGTCGTGGAGATTTCCGGAGACGCAGTCCACTGCAAGGACCCATCCACTCGGATTTGCTTAAGGAACCAGGAAAAGAATGCCCTAGGTTGAGGGGGGATTTAACCATAGGGAAGAATTGAAAACGCTTTAGTGTAAGCAAAACCAGGTCCATTTCTGGTGCTAATTGCAACAGAACCCAAGTTCCCGTCGTTGATGAAATTCATGGCACGTGTTCTGGGGTAAGAACTGGAGGTCGTCTGCATCATTGTAGGAGAGCTTCTTAAACGTGTCCCCATTATATACAATGGATTTCAAGAAGAGTCTACACTCAGGCAATGCAACAATTTCAACACTGACCGTATCCATCATCCGTGTAAACGAATGATCTAAATCATTACCAACATGAAAATAGGGTTGTTCATCTACTTAGCAACATCCCCGTGTTCCGATGGACTAGCAAGATCTGCTTTTCTCTACCTCCCCAAATGGCTTTCCTCTCCCCGTTCCAATGAGAAGCACTGCTGGGGACTGAACGTCTGTCGTTCGGCTTGCCCCCGTTGGGTCCATCGGTTGCGGTCCATCTACCCTCAGTCCGTCGTCACGAAACACCGGCGGCCACGGACCGGCCGTTTGTGTTCGACGGAACGCTCTCGAGTCGCGGAACGTCGGGTTGTGGAGCACTCGAAGACATGCGAAGACCACGACAGGTCTCCCAAATGTTGATGTTTCATCACATGTCCTCATGTTTCATCCAAGGACATCAGCGACTTCATGTCTCAAGTCCTCCAAACCGTCGGTTTCCCTCTTCAAAAAAGCGCCCTCCAAACCGGTCTGAAGAGGGTCGCTGCTCACAGGGAGTCTCGGCCGAGAGGGCCGAGATGGAAAACTCAATTGGCCAGGGCTGGAGCCTGCAAAGCTTGGATCCCGCGACCAGGAACAATCCTGGTAGATCCTGCTGGAGCATGGCAATCCATCCATTTGCCATCTATGGTTTCATGTGTGTTAAAGCCAGTGGATGCTCATGGAGTTCATTAATACTCAGAGGACCCATAGGTTACAGGTGGTTCAAAAGGATTCTCCACAAAGCTGAAGCCTTGGAAGAGGTATGTACAGGTGCTCACGGTTCATGCGAGGTCAATCCGAAAATAACAGACCAGCTTGGATTGATTCATTGATTGACTGACTGACTCATTGATTGATCTTGGAAGCTCCCTGGCAACTCCCGGAATCGCTGGGATCTTTCACCTGGCCCTCCGCGCGTTCACGCGGTAAGTGGTGCAGGAGCGAGTTGCGTTGCGGAATCGTGGGAGCCTGGGGAGCCTGTCATGTTTGTGTTGGTTTTTGTTTCCATGCATGAACAGAAAAGGTTGGGGTGGTCGGGGTGGGTTTCAAAGGTCAATGGAGGCAATTTGATGATCAAATTATACGTCATAATAACTTGATTACTAGGGGGGTCGTGTTTTTAAATAGGTGGAGGGGATTAATTATCATTTGCCTATGTATGCCATCGTATGCCTACGTTCCTCATTATTCCGGACCCTCAAGCCTCATGTCTTTCAGGCATTTTGAGAACGCCGGACTTCTTTCAATCTGGTCACAGCTCTGTGGGCACCCCAAACTGACAAACCACACCATAACGACCGTCCCAAACAGCCAGCATTCTAAGTTTCTTCCTGTCTTTCATTCCACATGCATCATGTTTTTCTCTGCTCCTGAACAGAAGAATCCGCAACTCACTCAACACCAAGGCGATTCCCCAAACCTGATGCAACGACAAGGGCGAGAGACGCACCAAGGACCCCAAAGGTGCCGAAGGAACGGAGGATAGGGGTGCCCCTGTCACATCCACCCACTGGATGGGACCAAATACCACACCCTTGGCGTTTCTGGACGCTGGACGATGTATAACCCAGTCCCAAAGCGGAAACAGTTCTAGTTCTTCCAATATGGCAATAGAGAATCCTTTACAAAGGAAGCGGCGAAGTCGACCTGTTTTCCTCGACCGAACTCCAGCAGCGGCGCCAAAGCCAGGCTTTGTCCTCGAAAAACGTTTTGACCGGACATCTCAGGACGATCCAAAGTCAAAGCTTCCTGGACGATGTATCAAGTTCATCTTTCCCATACACGACCCATGGGACTGCCATAGGACTGCCGATCAATTGGGCCCTCAAACCCACCACCACCCCTGGCCTGATCGGCAGTCCTATGGCAGTCCCATGGAGTGTCTGGGTTTGCTCGATTGGACGGTCCGTTGTTGTTCGTGTAGGTATACCAACTATACCTATATAGCAATACTTCAACATGGCGTCCCCGAAGATCCACTGACTAGCAGGTCACCAGGGGTTCCGTTCGTTTCCTAGAAAATGGATGAAAATGGGACGTGTGACATGACGCCCGTAAAAGCGGTATATATACTTTTACTCAATATGGTCCTTTCGGTACTTTGACACTCCAGTGACCCAAACACTGGCGAGTCCATGTCCACTGGTGCTTCCCAAGCCTGACTTGTTTCCAGTGCGTACTCTCGGGGGACCCCCAAGCCCAACGGGTGAACCGGTGTCTACCTGCTTCAACCGGTAGGGGATCCGCCTGTTTGTTTGAGCTACACATCATGTCACTGCCGATTCTTGCGACAGTGCCATGCGCTGGATCCACAAACAAATGATCAATAGAGCGTAGATCTTCTCAGTCACCAAGTAAACACGTGGACCGACAGAAGGCGGGCGCGGCGGCTGCGTTGGTGTGCGGGTTCCTTCTCTTTTGGTGAGGTCCTGGGATCTACCCACTAGGGTACGATAGTTGAAGGAAGGAAGCCCTCTGAAAGCGCTTCAAACACCTTGCATCTCCTCGAGCCAAAGCAAGGTACTGCTCACAGTACTGCTCACATCTGCTCACAATGCCTCTTTTTGGATGTTGCATCTTCCGGGTCAATCAAAAAACACTCAACCGTGCGAACTTCCACCCCTCTTCCTTTCCGCATCAACACCGGAGCTCCACCGAATTGTGGCGCCTTGTTCCCCCAACTGCTGCGACTCCAACTTCTTCGATCCCTCCTGAGGTCAAACAACCGTGACATCGTTTTGGGCAGGTGTTTGAGGGTTCTTTGGGCTTCACACGGTGTTTAGCCGGGGTTTAGCCGGGGCGGCCCCAGCATCACGGGGGGACTGCGCGTTCTCTCAGTCCGTCACACGGAAGTGGGTTCGCACCGACCTGTTTGGTCTGAGGATTTCATCATCTTTTCGGGGCCCCCACTTCATCAAGATTACCATTTTCTAGAGCCAATGGACAACAATCATGAAGCAAGTTGCAACATGTCCATCCGAACCTGCTATATATATAAAGATGTCGACCCCGATCGACCGTGACCTATCCCCAACCATCGGTGCAACCCATCCGGCAACTTGGGATGAGTATGGTTCGACAGATTGGCAGCCGCAAAATCCTGAAGAAGACCCGCAAAATCCTCCAAAAGGGCTCTCCTGGATGCTCCAGCAGCTTAGATCCCTTGAAACGCTTCAAGCCACAACCTAGCAAAGAAACTGGGTGTCAGCCAGTGTAAGCGTGTAAGCAGACCCAGGCCCTAGCCTCACCATTGGGCCCCTCATCTTTTTCTTGCCGATGCATTTCTGACATCTTGGGCTCATTTTGGGTGAGACATTGCAACGAAAAGGAGTCTTGATCTTCCTCACTTCCGATCTTGCAGAAACTACAGGGTGGCTGTGACGAGAACTAACACAAACCCTGTTCCCAAGGTGGAGGTCATCCATTGGTTCTTGAGTTGGTTGAGGCCAAAGGCCATTGCCGAGTTCGCCTCACTAAAACTAATGATTTCTCACTCTTGGAGCTCCTTGCAGGTCCCACACCGGTTTTTTTGTTGTCCTCGAGATGCGGAGGTCTTAGTCTAGACACAGGAAGAACATGGAAGGTCACAGCAACGGCAGTGGGGGTTCTTTCATTCCCAACATCGACCCGGAACCGTTCGAAACATCGACCGGGAGACACCTCTCCACCGTTCATCCGCCTGCTTTGATGTGTCCGTTCTTCTCAGTCGTGTTAAGCAAAGTTCAGGACGCAGGAAGGGAAAAGAGTTCGTTCAGTCTGCGTCCTGGAACCAGCCAACCTGCAACAAGGACACGTAAGAAACCCAACAGAAAGCATCACAGCAATTGAACCTCTCCGCCAGCACCTCCCTTTGGGATTTCGGATAGCAAGCAATTCAGGCCGGGGGTGGTCCAAAACCAAGTGAACTGACAGGTGGCGTGACTAACGGCGCTATGGTCTTGGATGCAAGCTGACAACCAGCCTGCAGGAGAGCAACAAGTGGACATCAAATTTCTGCACAGCAGCTTGTTTGTACCATCCAGAAACAGTTCTGGTTGTTCCAATATGGCTTGCTTGACGTCCTTTACATAGGAAATGGCTGGGACTGGGGCAACATCCATTTCTCTCTGGTTGTTTGGGTTTCCAGGATTATTAAAGCTGCTGGTACAAGTACTGCTGCTGGTATCTTCCGTGAAACCCATGTCAAGCTACAATCACTGCCAACGCAGCCAAAGAGTCCTCAACATCCGGATCTGTCTCTACAAGTAAAGCTCACTCACACCCTCTCCAGAGCTGTGCAACGAAGAGCAAGATCAAGACCAATTCGGATTCACAAACGTTCTCTGGATTGGCTCTTTTGGCACTAAAGCTGGTCACGCACTCCCAACGGACGAAGCTTGGCGCCACTGGCGATGGTGGGCAACCCCGTGAGCTCATGAGCTCAGATGCTGGGACTAGGACTAGGGTCCATGAATAGTTCAAATGAATACTGCTGCAGTCCAATGATCCTTCTTTCTTCAGGTTCACCTCAACAAGAGCCTGAAAAAGATTGAAAACGTGTCCAGCAAGGTGGCATGCAAATGCACCGCAAAAAAGACAACTTCCCGATGTACCGACCCCCAAAACCAAGACGTTGCGACTCTGGGACGTGTCCATGTAGGCATGTCTAGGAAGACCTTTCAAAGACCCTCTGGAAGAAAGACACATAGACCGAAACCCTAGGTTGGGGGTTCTCCCTATTGAAATACACATGCAGGTGAGTTTTTGAGGGGCTCCAAGCTGCTTGGATAGCCATGCTGAGGTCATTCGATGTCCGCCGTTGGACTGGGAGCATGTGGCCAAATGTGAGGCAAACGGATGCAGTGAACAAAAAAGGGCGAAGAACGGAGAGGTACCGTGTGGGTCGCTGGTGCTGTGGTACCCAAACACCCCGTTTCACTCAGCAAGCCTGGTAGGTTGACGACCCGAGTTGGTCGTTGTTGGTCGTTGGTCTCTTCAGCGATGTTTGTTCGTTGAGAAACACATGGAAAAATCAGTCGGTTCGCCGAACCCATAGCCAAGCAAGAAAAACCAACCAAATGAAAGGAATCAGCCAGTGATCATCACCAATTAAGTCGTATGTCAACAGGGGAGCAACTCAAGTGGGAAGAGTCCCAAGTTGATGAAGTCTGTGGCGGGACAGTTGGACACGATCTTTGGCCCCCACCTTGTAGATGAAATGACCTGGAAAACCCACAGGTGCGAGAGAGAGAGAGAGAGAGAAAGAGAGAGAGAGAGAGAGATGCGCCTACGGCCTTTATCGCGTTTTGCATGGGTTTCGGGCCCTCTTGAAGGCCCCCTATTCAAGGACCCAATGAGCGTTTTGGGGCTTGTGTCAAATCAGGTGCCAATTTAGATCACCCGATCCAAACCAAACCGTTGGGATAGTCGACTGGGGCCTGCTCCACGATGCCAACGATGCTTCTGGGACTGTGTTTGGGAACCTTTGAGAATGAAGGGCTGCTGCAGATTTACATACATTGGGGTGGTTGAAAAGAGATCAAGGGAAAAAGGCAAACAGTGTAACGTGTCATGTCGTTTGGTGTCACCTATCACCTTCGTTCGAACGCACGTCTGCTTGACTTCCCGTCGGGCCAACAGGTGGGAGCAACTGAGAAGCAGCCGAAGAAAGGACCTCTAAGAAGCATGCGCAACTCCTCGAACTCATAGAAAGGAATTCACAGGGGCACTGCACACTTTTCCTGCTCCCTTATCTAGCCTTATCTATTCAAGGGTGACAACCATTTTTTACATGATCTTCAATCAGCGTTGTTCACCGCAGCACTCACAGTTTGATCTATATACTTCAATCTAGACTCAGACATTGTCGACAGCCTGGCAACGAAGTGGCCCCCGACGGATAAACAGATCCCGATCCGACCGCTCCTGAATACCACCTTGAATTGTAGCCAGGCCTGTGACCGGAGTCTGATCACCTCTGGAAATGACATTAAACTCAAAAAGGAACTCCGTTGCTATCAACATAGATTCCAATTCATGCTCCTTCGTGCAACTTACATGGCCAATGTATCTTTGCCGCAACAAATGTTGCTTGCAGCTTTTCACATGTTTCATGTTTCCAGAGCTTTTGCAATCTACCCTTGACCCTTGGAGGTCTACCTTTGAACCCTTGGAGGTCTACCCTTGACCCTTGGAGGCACTATAGGAAGGCAGACCAAACTACTGTGTTTGATGCTCACTTCGAAGGCTGACAAAGCACGATGATCCTCATCTTCCCCATGCTGTAGACAGCATGGAATGGGAGGAATTGACCACGTTTCGTTCTCGTCTTGGCCTTTACAGTGATTTGTGGAAAACAAGCACACCATGCACTGCCGCGTTTTGTAAACCAACTCTATTTCATTAATCTCTGAGACATGAGCTGACCCACTCACTTACAGTAATTTCTGTTGATGTTGATTTCGCTGACTTGGAACCAACAAAAGAACACACATTTTGTTTGGTGAACTAAACCGCTTTTAATGCCAACATGTTGAAGAAAAGGACAGCACACAGATGCACTGGAGGGTTTTTGGAAAAGGAAATCTATTACAGAGATCGAGAGATAATACATAGTAATATGTTTTGTTTTTTAGTTGTTCTTTTTTTGTATATGCTATTTTTAAATAATGTATATACTAGTTGTTTAAACGTTACAAAGGCTGAAAGAGGGGCAATGCACACCTTGGGTGTGGCTTCGCAAGTTGATGCAACAGCCTTTTTTTTTCTGGGATGCAGTCGTTGAGGTTTCCGGACCCTCCGTGCCCTGCTCATCACGACCCGACTCGTGGTGCCCTCCCCGTGTCGATCGAAGGGCCTCTCATGCCGGCGGTGGAGGAGGAGCACTGGCCGCATGCTTCTCCTTCGACAAAGACAGAGTTCGGAACCTCCATTGGTAACACATGGGGTAGCACCATAACGCAGAGACGACCCAAAGATGAATTGCTTTTGAATCAAACCATGCTTTTGAGAGTCCCAACTATCACAGACGATTGATCGGCAACCAGGAATTTCCGGGTTGCCACACGGAAAATTCCTCACACGAGTGTGGCTGAAATCATCAACAAGCCCGTGGAGTCAAGCCAAGTTCCTTGGAGTCTCTACATGGCCTCCAACCTCATAGCGATGGCCTCCAACCCCCCTGTTTGAGCTTGGACCATATCTTAGAGTGCTTGGTCCGGTCTGATCCGGACGGTCGACATCTGGGGCTGTCGCTCCAAACAAATGGGCACCTGGGTTGACCAGCGAACATGAACAGATTCCTCCCTATCCAGCGATGTCGGTTTCGAAACCATGGTTTGGTGGAAGAGGTTTTGACTCACAGCCATGTATCATACATGGAGTGCATGGAGTGTCTCTGCAGAGGCAAGATTTCAGAGGTCACGAACTGGTCCAGTCCTGTGTTTTGAACATGATTCCCGGTAGGACTTAGGACGCGTCCCAGACTGATCAGTCTGATCCACGTGATGACGTCCCAGCTATACTCATGGTCACTGCTTCAAAGTCTTCAACTTAAAGCTCAACATCCGAGGAACATGACAAGTCCCAGATCTGCTCGAGGCCCTTCATATCCCTTCGATCCCTTCAAATCCTGCTTCACCCCCTTCCAGGAGCCGTTCCATGTCCCTTCCCCGCCCCCCTACCTCCCTCTACCTCTCTCTGCCCACTCCCCACGCGAACACGCGACTCTCCC